CCCCAGCTGGTCCCCTGCCCCACTGGCAGACCCAGCCAGGGCCCAGGGCCAGCCCTGGTGACTCCCTCCCAGGCGCCCCTGGCACGCCGAGTTAGGCCATGCCCCCCGCAGCCTTGGCCTGTGCTCAGCATGGCCCTGCCGGCGGGCAGCCGCTGCCTGTGCCCACAGCCTCTCGCTCACCGGCTCCGTCTCCCCTGAGCAGTGAAGGGTCGGACCAACCTGAAGATCAATGAGAAATACCTGTCTCCAGACGCCTTAGGGGCCACGACCGCCGGTGCCGGCAGCCAGTCAGCCCCCCCCTCCAAAGTGCTGTCCCCCAGCCGCTCCAACTCCAGCCTCAGCCTCTACAGCAGCGCCTCTGCCCCCAGCAGCCCCCTGGCCAGGAAGGTAAGAACCGCCAGCCTGGGGAGCGACAGCAGCGACGGCAGCGGGACCCATGGCGGGGTGTGCCCCCTGCACGGAGAGCAGGGCCCCACAGGGACTGGGATCCCCACAGGGGCCCTGGAGCCTGGGATCACACGCGGGCTGGATTCCCCAACCCAGGCTCTGCCTGGCCACAGCCCTGCAGCGAGCTCCTTCCCCAGCCGTGTCCTTGAGTAACCGCCTCTCCTCTGCCCCCAGGCTGTCCTGCGCCGGACGCGCTCCGGAGACCGGTGCCCCCGTTCCCGCAGCTCCCTCCTGGCTGACGGGGCTGAGCTGAGCTTCTCCGCCCCCCAGGCCAGCACAGAGGCTGCGCCCCCAGGTGAGAGCCCACGAGCAGACTCCAGCAGCCTGGGAAGGGGTAGCGGGAGGCCTCTCACCCCCTGGCCCTGGGGTCTGCCCCTGCTGCTCTTGGACCAGGCCCTCTCTCTGCTTTGCTTCCAGAGCCCCCCGAAGGCCCCCCCACCTGAGAGCGCAGCCCGAGAGCACCCGTCGGAGCGGCCCCCCGGCCCCAGGGACGGGCAGGCGCCCTCCCCGGCCCAGCCCGAGCCCCATTCAGGATTTTCTGCCCTTCTCGATGGCTGCGCCAGCAGAGCCGCTTCCACGCCGCAGATGTGGCTCCAAGGCGGGAGAGGGTGGAAGACCCCGGCCCCAACCCTTCAGCAGAGAGCTCGGTGTGTGTGTGTGTGTGTGTACCTCGTGTGTACCTCGGTGGGGTGTATGTGTACATGTGTGTACGAACCTCGCGAGGATGTCGTACCTCACGAGGGTCTGTGTGTGTGAACCGTCGGGGTGTGTGTG